AAGCACGTATCCACGATGGCATGAAAAGCACGGATCGACGATGGCATGAAAAGCACGTATCCACGATGGCATGAAAAGCACGGATCAATGATGAGCACGAAGTTCCCGATGAGGACCGAGCAGCAAAGGAGAGAACACGATGAGCACCAATGGAGAGAGGACGGTGAGGACCAATGGAGAGAAGATGAAGCGAACACGATGAGCACGATGAGCACGATGAAGAGAACACGATGAGCACGATGAAGAGAAAACGATGAGCACGATGAAGCGAACACGATGAGCACGAAGAGCAGCAAAGTAGCGAACACGATGAGCAGCAATGAAGACGAAGCACGTATCCACGATGAGCACTGATGGAGAGAAGATGAGCACGGAGAGCACGTATCCACGATGAGCAGCAATGASCACGGAAAGCACGTATCCACGGAGAGCAATGAGCACTGATGGAGAGAAGATGAGCACGGAAAGCACGTATCCACGGAGAGCAATGAGCACCAAGGAGAGCACGTCGAGCACCAAAGGAGCGAACACGATCAGCAGCAATGAAGACGAAGCACGGATCGAACCACAGATGAGCACGGACCACCAAGCACGGATGAGCACCGACCACCAAAGGAGCGAACACGAAGCACGGATCGAAGCACGGATCCAAGCACGGATCCAAGCACGCATGAGCATGGACCACCAAGCGCGGATGAGCACTGACCACCAAGCACGGTTGAGCACCAACCACCAAGCACGGATGAGCACCGACCACCAAGCACGGAAGAGCACCGACCACCAAGCACGGATGAGCACCGACCACCGAGCACGGATGAGCACCGACCACCAAAGAGAGAGCACAGTGCGCGCGCGCGCGCGCGAGAGAGAGAGAGAGAGAGAGAGAGAGAGAGAGAGAAGCACGGAGCACGGAGCATGGAGCACCGACCGGCGAGCACACGCGCACCGACGACGGAGCACACAGGTGCACGTTGACGCACGTTGCGAAAGACAGACGAAGTGCCGAACGATTGGAGAAGTGGCCGTGGGCGACAACAGTATTGCGCGCGGGTGGTTGGAGGTGTGTGCCGGCAACGAAAAAACGGGCGCAAGGCCGTTTCGGCACTTTCGACACCAAACGGCAGGCGATTGGTGGTGGGGGGGGAAGGGCGGCACCAAACGGGCCGCCGGGCTGGATGACGGGCGGGCGGGCGGGCCTGCAATTCGGCACCTCCGGTAGCGCCATCGCACGGCCCAAATCGCAGGCCGGTAACGCGCCGCGGACGACCCAGATCGCAGGCCGATCAGAAAACTTTCTGATTGGCCTGCCATCTGGGCCGTCCGCGGCACGTTACCGGCCTGCGATTCAGGCTGTGAGATATGACGTTTAGCAGTTCTTATAGTAGGTGTAGACCTGAGAAAGAACAAACCAATCTTCTTGGTCTTAATTAAACAAGTTATGAGGCGCGCTGTGGCCAATACTCGTGGGCAACAGTCCACATGTATGCGGACCAACTCGTGGGCAAGTGAACCGATAAATGGAAAAAAACACATTGGGAAAGGTAGGCACAATGCGGCCCTCGGCATTGCTAGAAGGCACCATGTGGGCTGGCAAGGGTGGCACTGTATGGCCTGGAGGGGCATTGCTAGAAGGCACCATGTGGGCTGAAGGGTGGCACTGTATGGACTGGAGGGAATCGTGTGGGCAGGGTTGAGCTGTATGGTACTAACGCATAGCCATAAAAACACACATGCACAACCTCCTGACTAGTCGGTGAAAGTCCAACGAATCAGTCTGGCACAGTCATGCTTTTCTTTGTGGAGTTGTCTGTAGTGAACATGACAACACACAAAGGGATGGTCACTGCCAGTCTCTGCGTGAAAACTGTGACCCTCTGTCTTGTACTCGTTCCTTCCACTCCCTGATTACTCGCCCAGTATGCGGTCATGGCCTTGACTGCCATGCCTGAGTAGCTGTGAAAGTCAGCCGTATGAACCACCTACAATCCTGCAACAGCCGAACACCCTGGCTTGGTATCAATCCACGCCGCCTGCCCATAGAGAAGGAATAAACACTGGGGAAGCCTGCCCTATGCCGCTCTGAAATTCGGCTATAGCATGTGTTTTGCATGCCTTGTGCCTTGAGGATTATGAAGCGAAAGCCCATGCCAGTTTTTCGTTTTCATCTGTGATGACAGACAACACTGCACTCATCTACGACACACTGACATGTGGTGTACAATTTGTAGACGGGCCGGAATGACAATGCCTCTACAATAGCGGTCAGCGTGCCTCTGTGTTCCAAGCATGCAGAAGCCGCGTGGCCTGTGACATCTGTCTACACCGTGCCATTCAATGCAGCAACTGTGACTGCGAGAATTGGATGCGGTGCTTCCACAATCCACACCCGAACCGGTCCTGTCCGGTCTGTAGAGGTGGCCACTTACCATAGGCAACGGCTGCTCAACTCTAAATCTTATGGAACCCAAACCTTGACTGGCCTCATGTGCCATTCCGGAGTAGTCTGCTCCGTTGGTGAGCAAGTAGAACCTTGTGAGAACTCCATATCTTATTTACTTCCTCCCTCCTCTCCTGTACTACTAGTAAATGCATACGGATAAGCATCATTAAGAAAACAGACAAAATATAAGCTGAAGAATTGAAGAAAAATGAAGAGGAATGTACCTCCGCCTTTACTCTGCCTCCTTTCATAATGTGCAAGTGGGCCGTTATGGCACACGGTGATGTGGACAGCTCGCGCTCAATCGCAATCAACATGGTGAGCCTTGTACATGAGAGGCACAATAGAAGGGGAGTTGCAAGGATGAATGAAAAAGCCAAAGTGGACACAGTTAAGAAAGGGATTGAAACGCTTCTATTTTGCTCCGTGTTGCTTGCTATAAAGGTAACTGTTTCATTGCTGGTTTATATCAAGTGTTTTCGTTGCCTGCAATAGGGCTAAAGCTGCTTCAAATTTCGATCTACTCATCTGGGTGGAATAGGGGCTGTTGTGGTTGAAAATTCAAAACACACAGGCATCCAACGCTTGAAAAACACACGCAGGCACATCGCTGCCCTTGGCATGACCATGATACTATGTGGGCTGAGCAGTATTAGATGGCCTGCATGATGCCACATCTGTTGGATGTTACCGTTAGACCGGGAGGCAGCATGCGAGGCTGGATATACTATGCCAACGGGGGGGGTACTAAAACACACCCTCAAGAAAGATGTTATGAACATGGTTAATGTTAGGGACAATTCCTCCCTTGACACTGAGAGGCAGCACTATGTGCGCTTGAGCTGTATGATGTGGTCTGGGTGATACTATCTGGGTTGAGTTGTACTCTGTGGGGTGGGTCATGCCATGTGGACCGGGCAGTGCTATGCGGGATGTGGGTTGTGCAGTACTGTGAGGGTGGGTTGAGGAGTACTGTTCGGGGAAGGTCAACTATGTGGAACGGGTGGTACTATGTGGGCAGGGCAGTAATTTGTGGCCTGGGTAACTCTTAAGTCGGTTGAGGGCACCGTGTGGGATGGGTCGTACCATGTCGTCTGTGTGGTACTTCTGTTCCCTCTCTTGCCCTTGGCCAGCGGCGTATCTCTCCTTGTGTCTCTTTCCCCTTCCATTCTGTGTGGATGTTATGATCAGCTAGTACACCAGACAATGGTGGCCATGGGTAGTTTGGCAGCTCCAAGGGTTAGAGTTGAAGTGGATGGAAATGGGGTTGAAATCTTGACACTCAGCAGAATCTGGCTCACACAGAAGGGGTAGTGATTGACTCTGTTTTTTTTGGGTCTAATCCGGGGCTGTATGGAGAATCTTTCCCGTTACTTCCTCACCACAATGGAAACCGCTATTGTAACAAAAACAAGATCTTGCCCATATTCCGCAAGAACCCTTGATCTGGGCTGCCAGTGGTTCTACCAAGTAACAGGCCTTGTTGGCCAAATTAAAAGATTTTAAGATTACCTGTAAGCGCGTCAATCCCGACTGTCAGCTGATGACGAGAAATTCATTAACGGTGCTTTTGGGCATCGAAGTGATCAGAAATTTGCATTCGGAAATGCGCGTGCCGAATTTGGTGCTCAAACTCTACAAAGAAGTGTTTCCCACATCTCCCGTCTTCCTAACTAAAGTGCACGTAAACCGCTAGTAGTGCACGGCCCCAGCCTTGCAGAAAGCTTTTGTCGCCACAAGCAAAACTCGGAAGGGCCGTTCGGCCAGGCCCGCCGTTGAAAAACAAAGTCGGGTGTCTCCGAAGTGGCGCGGGTTTCATGCTGACACCCGCGGGCCGATATGTGGTGTACGGAGTGCGCTGGAGGAAGGTAGCTGCTGAGACAGGCATATAAGAAAGAAAGGGGTCAGCCGCTACCTCCGTCAATGCATATCCCACCTCCCCACCCTTTCCCAACTTCCCGAAGCCCGCCTTCCCGACCCACAACACACCACAGCTGCATTCCTCACCTACCCCCATTTCTCATTATCTCAGACACCTTCCCATTGTGCCTGGTTCCCCTGTGTCCTTTTGCCATGGAGAGAGAGAGAAAGCAGTGTTTTCTGCCTCCAACACTGCATTCCGCTCCTCCTCCCAACCAACTGCCGCCGACCGGCACATTCCCCATCCCCCCTGTAAATGCTTACTGCCTTTCTTTGGGGAGGATGTCCTGTGCCAGCAGGGCGCCTGACACATGAGAGAGAGAGAGCGAGAGAGAGAGACATTGGGGAAAGAAGAGGTTGAATACGTGATTGGTTATGGTGATCTTTCAAAGAGACAGAATACTACATGTTCTAGGACGATGAGGAAGACAGTGCTTGTGTATGGCCTATCACAAAGTTTGCCCGCCTTCTGACCATTGCATTAAGACAACAATGATGACCTAGGGTTGGGTGTGTTTTGTGTATTGGGCGTGCTCTGCAGAGGTTTATTGTGAGTATGTGTTGAGGGTAACTATATGCTGTCTCTCTCAATTAACCAAGCTAATACATTGAGTTCATCTGATGTGTTGGTTCCTTGCAGACCTGCGTGAGGACAAGCAGTATTTGAATGATCACCCCACGACGGTCATCTCTACGCATCTGGTATGATTGCCTTCATGGTGTCCTGTTTCTTGTATTTCCTCAGACAGCAGAACCATGGTCACGCTGTGCCCAGTAAGCGGCCTCTCTGTGTGCCCCAGGCAGTGCAGGATGTCTGCTAGTGCAGTGCTGGCTGTTCATTACCTGCATGGATGTATAAGTTTGCGCCGGGAACTAAGGTGGCCTGTAAAGGAAATGCGTCACTCAGTTATGCTATACGGCAATGCCTCTTCCCTTTGCCTTGTGCTAGTGCCTTTTCCTCATGGTGGTATGACACTTTGTTTGACATATGGCAGTTGTTCTCTTTACTTCTTTGATATGAACAGTTTTCCAGGCATTAATCACCAGCTACTGTATACTATCACAACTTATACAGTGTACATGTTAGTGAATAGGCCTTTGCCCTTTGCTGCATGGTTGGCATGCAATTTCTCGTTCATGTCGTTGCCAGATGCATGTGTCAGCCTATGGACATTTCGCCAGTTAGCTAATTTTTACCCCCTTGCTGCCAAATTGTTCCTTCTGAATTTTGTCTCAGGGAGAGGAGTTGAAGCGGCAAATAGGGGCAGCAGCCTACATTGAATGTAGCTCAAAGACTCAGCAGGTACAATTGATATCCTTCTCTGCCTCCTTCGCTGCGCACCTTCCTCCCATGCGCCTTCCCTCCCCTTCCCCCTCTGTCTCTCACTCTCTCTCTCGCTTCGCTCTGTTACGAAGTTTCAAGAATGTCAAATATTTGCATGTGTCATCCGATTTTGACTCTTGATCGAGATGAAATCAACACTTGTTTGGGAGCTTGCTTAAAAATGAAATTAAAAAAATGAAATGAAATTAACCCTATATACAACTTTACCAGCTGCGGACTGCATTACAATGGCCTTGGCTCTCCCCGCGGTCTAGGCATCCCTTTGTACAGGATGTATGCAATGTACTCGAGTGTACAACCCGTACAACAGCCCCCCCGACGTAGAATGCGGTTTGGGGGCCCAAAAAATGTCTTTCTTGTTTTTTTTTGTTAGGGAGATTCGTTCGAGGAGCGTCTTAGGTCTCCCGTACCTGGGGTTGAAAAACACCGTTTGCATCCGCCCTAAAGTTCCTCAATACCCCTACACGCGCTCCCTTTACGCCCAACGCCCCTGGCTCCCACCCCCCCTGCAGAAGCCCCTTGCACTCCGACCCCTTACACCCTTCTTTTACTCGACACCTGCTCAGCACACCACTTACACCCGACACCCCATACCACCCCCCTTATACCTCACAACTCCTACCATACCCCCCTTATTCCCCATACCGCCCAAAATAATTAACCCCCCTTCCCCCCCACCCCAAAACCCCTGTTACACCCCCCCTCATACCCCGTACCCCTAAAATGTACTTAACCAACCTTTGCCCCCTTTTATCCAGGGGGGTTTGGGGGGTATGAACAGCAACTAAAGGGGTTAAAAGGGTTTATTTGGACTCGTGTTTTCTCTTTTTTTTTTTAATCTTATAATTGACAACGAATTTTGAGGTGGCCCTCATCCAAAAGTGGTTTGTATTGCAATTTTACACAAATCTTTTTTTCGGATTTTTTTGTTTGTTTTTTTCTATTTTTTTTAATATTACGCGCTGGGATCGCCTGGGACCCCACCCGGGCCCTGCCCAGCCCAGGCTGCCCGGGAGGGTACCCGGGCGACCTTCCACCTGCCGGACCGCCCGGGGGACTAACACAGGTATTTTCACAGGGGAGCCCAACTGCCCCGAGCACTCAGATTCAATCAGAACCGAAAACGATGCGGTGGAGGGACAGATCTGCTTGGATATGACTGCCCTCACTCTCCCTCCTATCAGCCCTAAAATAATGCCACTACTTGTTCTTCTTCTACTCCGACAAACCTGCAAAATGAAAATCCGTTCGTACTAGTGCCCAGCTCATCACTTTTGACGAGCTGCCTCCCAGCTGAGTCTGCCTATTGGAACTATCTAGCACCACAGGTCTGGCTAGATTCTACAAAGAGGTTCTGGTTTGAAAACTACACCACAGGTCTGGCTAGATTCTACAAAGAGGTTCTGGTTTGAAAACTACACCACAGGTCTGGCTAGATTCTACAAAGAGGTTCTGGTTTGAAAACTAACAAGCTTCAAAATGGCATACAAAAAGCAGAAGCTACAACAAGCTTTACCGTTGAGCCCAGGGCTCAGGTGGTTACGCCCTGGGTACATGCCGTGTCAGGCGGACACATCACGGACTGGTCGTTGGCCAATGAGAAAGCAGCAGTGTCGTCACACATGCACCACGAGCCAATGAGAATGCTGCGAACACTTGGAGGCTGGGTGGCTGCCTGAACGTGCCTAGGTGCCTAACTGCACGAGGCCCAGGGCAGTATCTGAAACTGGGTCTGGGTGCAGACACTTGGGACCAGACTGAAGCTACTGGGCCCCCACACGCCTGGCCAGGCTAGCCAGCGCGGGCGCACTTTCCATAAAGGAAAGTGTGTGCCCCTGGGCACGGCATTCTGGCTTGCCAAGGCAATGCGGCCATGCTGCTGCCTTGTCGGATGAGCGCTGCTAAGCGCTGGCAGGCTGGGGCACATACAGGCCCTGAGAGGTGAGAGGGCACTGCGGTGGCAGCGGCCACATGGCGGCCATAGCTGGGCAGCACGTGCGGATGCAGGTGATGGCGATGGTGATCTCGGGTAGGAGTCCCATGCAGAGGGGATCAAGGTGTGATGAGGGGAGAAGAGAGAACTTACCTGGTGTATGCTGGCAGTCGGCATATATTGATCTTGAACTTTGGTGGTCTTCGGGTAGGAGGCGCATGCAGAGGGAATCGCGGTGTGATGAGGGGAGAAGAGAGAACGTACCTAGTGTATGCTGGCAGTCGGCATTCGTGATGACGTCACATACATTGGTCTTCAACTTTGATGTGATCCAGTTGCATGAACGTCGATAGGATAGATAGGCTGAGTAGTGTAGGCTGGGCGCTGGGCGCCAGACAGTAGGAACGGCATTGGATACAGTGTTGGTGTGACCAGAGTGTGTCGGCATTGGCACTCGAGTTCATTGTATTGCTCTTATTTGGATGGAATCTTGGTGCATTGTGCTCTGTGCTTGGTTCATGACTATCTGGACTACTTCATGATTTTGCAACTTGGATTTCTGTCTATCGCTCTTGCTCATATTCCTTGCACCTGCCACCTCCAGCCCCCCCCCCACCTGCTCCCTTCTCCTAGTCTAAAGCTTCCTTGTCCTGTTCTCCCAACTCCCCCTCCTTCGTAGTTGTCATCAACATTAGCACATTCATGATTGGATTTGCTGTCATCTAAACTGTCTCAGTGGAGGGGCTCCTGTTCTCCACCCAGGGATGGTATAACCATAGGGGTGAGAGGCGTTTTCCCTCTCCATACCTCCAATGTCGGAGAACAACATTGCTGTGCCCAGGGGTCGGGATATCTCTGCTCGTTGCCCGTTCTTTCCCCTCCCCTTAGTGTATTTTCTTCCACATACTTCTTCATTCGCGGAATGCTCTCCCCCAGGGTCAGGACATCTCTGCTCATTGCTCATTTCTTTCCCCTCCCCTTAGTTTGTTTTCTCCCATATCCCTGTTCATTCGCGGAATGCTCTCCAAACTATCATCATCCCAATTGGAAGTGGTTCATAGACTTCATGGATAATTTCCATGGTCATATCACATACCACATGAAAGTCTGCTGGATCAGCATCTGCCCCTCTGTCCTGGCCAGCAAAGTCAACCCACAATGCATGAATCAAGTCCAGTTCTGCTGGCTCCTCCATGACATGCATCAATTTCCGATTGCCGTAGCAAGGCATATGGCTTCCCGTCTGCTGCAGTCCTTGTGAACTTTGCAGTTGAACCCCCGCTTAATTAATGGCTGTACTCCATAGTCAGCGCCTGCCCATTCTGCAATATGTTTCCTTCCGTCGGCATTGAACGGAATCGTCTCCGTGACATATAACAGCCTGCTGTATCTCGGTGTGTTTCCTCGGTCCACCCTTTGTACCGTCAGCATCGTGAGATTCCTTTCTCCTTGACATCCAGGCCACTTGGCAGAGAAAGCTCCTGCCTGTGCTCAACACATGCGAATCTGATCACCTTCAGGCTGCCCAATCCGTGAACTTACTCGGCGTGTTTCCTTGCTTCACCCTTTGTACTGTCAGCATCTGAGCTCCCTTTCTCCTCGACGTCCAGGCCTCTGAGCAGAGAAAGCTCCTGCCCGTGCTCAGCACATGCGAATCTGATCACCTTCAGGCTGTCTGATCCGTGAACTCGATCCTTCCCTCTTTGTGGCTCGCCTTGTGTGGACCATTTCCACTTCCCCATGTTGCCTCGTATTGATCTTCTTGTTGCTTCAGGATTGCCTTATCTTCGGTCTGTTGACTGTTGTTGAACAGTGCCTCCTGTCTGCGAACCCATTAAATTGATGTGCCGTGTTTCTTTCCACCCAAACTCACTTCCCCTTGCAGAGTCTTGCCTCACTTTGAGCAGTTTGTGCTGCCGCTTGCGGATTGATTTCTGCTTCCAGCCTTTTGTAATCACATATCTCCATCCTGTCATACCGTGGTGCAGTGGCCGTATGCCGCGGTGGCTGCGTCCATCCTTCTTCAAATTCCTCCCAAAGGGGCAGTGTTACGGACTTCGCCAGGGCTCGATCCCTGGTCTATCTTTTGCTGTTTCGGCTGCATCCCGTTTTCGGCCTGGCACCCTTTTTCCAAACCCCTCCTTTTGGTACCGTAGGATTTTGGACAACTGGCGCCATGCTGCAATTCGKGCGCCACTTTCAAATACTGCATTTTTCAGTTCTGCCCTCGGGGCCTTTGCAGAAATGCCCCTGGTACCGTACGTGTCACCGGTACTTATGACCGGCTCCCCGTACGGTACAGGGGGGAGTCTCGACCAGTTCTCTGCTGCTGTACTCGTACTCAGTGTGACTTGCCGTTTGGGCATTCGGAATCCAAGACTTCGACTTTGTGCCTTGCCACTGTGTCTGCGTCCGACCCTCAGTCCGAGTCCGTCGTGTCGAGTGAGTGAGTGTGTGTGTGTGCTCTCACTCTCTCCCTCTCTCTCCCTCTCTCTCATCTCCCTCGGCTCACCCTCAGCCTCACGCTCGTTACAGGCAGGGTGCATTGTCCCGCACCTTTCTTCTTTGGTTTGATAGCCGATGATGCCGATCTCGCTTGCTTCGCCTTTGCCCTGACCGTGCTGCCCATGGGTCTGGATGCAGCAGTTTTCTTGCTACCCTTGCTGACATATCTCTCGCTTCTGCTTCCAAATGGTTCTTTCCATCTCGTGTTCGACTCCACGTGTTGATTGATTTGTGTTCTTTGAAGCCTCTCCCTTGTTCTCCTGTGCGCAATCCGAGCCTTGCTCGCCTTCTGGTATTTCGTTCTGCTGCTACTTGTTCTTTTGCACTTTTTAACACGGCCCTTCCCCACCTTCTAGAGTTCTTCTGTGCTGCTGTTGATAAACGGTTTTTCCACCTTCCTGTTTCTTCTATGTACAGTCTCTCTGTTGAACTGTCGCTTCTTTGACCCTGGTTCAATCTTCACCCTTACTTTCACCTTTGCTTGGCGTTGAGCTGGTCCGACGGCATCCGCTTGAATTTCGCACCCTGCACTTATTTCTCCTCCGTGACTGTGTACTGTGCTTGTTGAGACGCCTACTTGAGCTCATGGTGTACGCTCCATCTTCACCCTTGCTGTCGCTTCTTCGACCCTGGTTCACCCTTACTTGCACTTTTGCTTCTCATCGAGCTGGTCCGATGGCATCCGCTTGAATTTTGTACCCTGCACTTGTTTCTCCTCCTTGACCGTTGTACTGTGCTTGTTGAGACGCCTACTTGAGCTCATGGTGTACGGTCCACTGGATGCTGCTTGTTTTTTACCTTGATACCTGGCGTATTATCGGCGTGCTCACCCTTTCTTCTGGTGCTCGTCTTCCTCTCCCTTCCTTTCTGCCTCGAGGGCATCTTCCTTTCCTCTGTTCTTCCTCCCTGCTCAACCTGTTCTCATTCTTCCTGTCTTTCTCCGCATTGTTGCTCCGTCCGTACTTCTTATCCTGGGAGCCTTACCCACTTCAGCTTACGAGCCTCCGCTCGCGGCAGAATCCTGTCTGCCATGAACGTTGCCTGTATGTTCTATCCCTACCCCTGGCAACTGAGGCCAAGTTGTTTCTGCTTTGTTGACCATCTGCTCACTGCACTTCTGTTTCATCTGCTCTCGTTGTTTGTTTTTTTTGTTTTTTTTGCGCAGGGGCCATGCTAATCTTCTCTGTATCGTTCCAATTTTAATGGATGTCCCGAAGGACATCTGCTCTCGATGTTTATCTCCACTGTTTCACATTTGCTTCCTTGTCCCTGACCGAATTCCCACGGATTCTTTCTTTCAATCGAGCGCTTCCATGCCCGTCTTCTATTCTTTTTACCACTTCTGCCCGGCTTGTCGTTGTTTTTCTCTGTCAGTTCCCTCGCCCATTTCACTTTCTCCTCTTCTATGCAAGTCTCTCGCCGCCACCTCATCTGTCGCCGTTTGCATGCTGTTCCTTTATCTGCCTTTGCTCGACTCGCTGTTGCTTTTCTCTCTGGCAGTTCCCTGCCGGACATCACTCTCTTCTCTTCTATGCAGTCAAGTCTCTCCCCTCTTCCTCGTCTGTCGCCGTTTACATGCTGTTCCGTTCCCTCATCCGCTGGCTTCGCCTCCCTCCAATCACCCTTTTTTCGTTCCGCCCTTCCTTATATGTTTGTAACTTTTCATTCCCTTGTCACTATGGGTTCAGTTATCAGCTCGTGTAGTGAGTGCAGTTTCGGTTTTCTTTTTTGGATATACCGTGCGTGATGACTCATCAGTCCGAAAGAGTCTCGCCTGGTAGTCTGTCCAGATACATTAGTGGGGCAAAGCTCATTCTCGGGCTTGTGTGTCCCACAACATTGCTGCTCCGATTTCATGGGCGGAAACCCGAACCCATAACTTCTTTCTCTAGAGCACAAGGACATGCCACAAGCATATAAGCTTGGCAAAGCCTTTTCTCAGTTTCTTCGCTGAGACCAGCTGAGATTCGGGACTGATCAGTATTCGCCGGGCCGTGGTCCGTCAGACCACACAATTTTAAAATCAACTCCTCTGTGGGAGCTGAAGAAGAAGAATTTCTGCCCTCTACAAAATCAAGGTATCTGATCTGTAGAGGGGGGTGTGCTCTCCCACTCTAATTTTCTTCGAGCGGAGGAGACCACCGTAAGGCAGCTGGAGGAAGCCAAGCTGCTTTCCTGCCTGAATTCTGGCCCCAACCAAAAGTCACTGCGGGCGAGCGGGAGCCAACTGGGACAGCCGACCGCCCGGTCCAACCGGTAGGGACCCGGTCGGGGAAGGGGTCCCCGGTCCATCCGGGGACCAGCACTGGTTTGTTGGGGTCTTGGAGATGACTGTTTTGGCCAGCTCTGAAAACCCTGAAAATCCTGAAAAACTGAAAAGAGCAAATTTTGCAGGATAACTTATTTTTGCCTAAGGGGTTTTGGCCCTTAAAACTTTTTTTATTTGTTTTGCTGTTGGTTTATTTGCTGTCCACTCTATGGACTGGTGACATGTCTGGCTTGAAAGGTGTGGGACCTTTCTACGAATGACCCTGAAAAAGTTCAAAACACCCTCCTGAAAATTTAGGCCTCTGTTATCATCTTCTCTTTACCACATAGTAAACATCATACTTGCAAGCGAACGCCGTCCGGGCGGTTCCGCACGTGCGGCAGACCGCCGGACCGGACCTGCGCGGCGCACGAATGTGCGCCCGACGACCAGTTACGCCCCCCCCCCCCCTAAAAAAAAGAAATGGCCCTGTCTGGTCGGGTCCGGGTCCGTTTGGTCCGGGGGGRGGGKGCCGCACGCGRCAAAGCGGACCGGACCGGACGCTCGTCCGGTCCGTCTGCTTGCAAGTATGGTAAACATCTTTGAAGTTCGAAGTGTACCATCAGCGGTGGCTGATATATTCAAATCGAGGGTCTCATTCGACGTAGCCCTTGCTGCCGGATGGTGTATTGGGCTGGTGTTTTCCAAGGTTGAACCATTATCACGCAGTCCTTGTTGTCTATCCTCATTGTTTCCTTCTGAAAAAGGACTCCAGCTCTGCTGCCGTACGGCCTGGGTCTACGGTGTCCCATTTCTTTCGCCCCGAAGACTTTCCGGTAGGTACTGTACGGAACGAAGTAGACATCTGATATGATATTACTTGTGGGAACAGTAGAGGGTCCAAGAATTCGGTGGGTAGGGAGTCGCCATGTGTACATGGTATGTAAAACCACGATTTCGAAGACGTGAAGTCCAAAGATCCAATATTAAATTCCCCCTAGGCGGGAGTTGTCTCTATGTCGTAGAATGAAATCTGCGTTGTGCAGATGCATAGACCCCTTCCCGATTACTGATGAGATTGTCAGTGCTTTCCTACTAGTAGGTCCCTTTCGGGTTAGGCAGGTACTATGGGTCCTCTTACTTCTGATAGGTACATCAAACAAACCAACCGGGGATGTTTTTTTTTGCCAAATTTTGCTCTGAAACTGTCATATTGCCCTGATTTTTTGCTTTTTTTTTTTTCTGTTGTTTCTTTTTCTGTGATATGTAGGTGCGTTACAATACGTCATGTGTCCAGTTTGGACTTTTTGGATCGATAAAATGAAAAAGTTGGCGCTTCGTCGGATTTGTTGAAGGGCTTATTTTAACTCGGGAAGTGTTTTTTTTTCTTTTTCTGTTAGGGTTTTATAGTGTGTTTTTTGTGTTTTTTTTTGTTTGTTTTCTTTCGCCTATTTTTTTATTTTTTTTAATATTTGCACACTGTGATTTTTTTTTTATTATTATTTTTTTTGTTTGCACTATGGGCCCATATGGTTTGTTTTTGAAATTTTTGCTGAATTTTGCACCAGAATTGTTGGCGAAAATGTGGAATTTTCGGCCCTGAGTTAACCACGTGTCTCACAAGGGAACCGGTATGTTGTGGTGGCATTGTTCTGTCCTGTCATGTTTTATCTGCGTATTTTTGTCCTTCAGAATGTGAAGAATGTTTTTGATGCTGCGATAAAGGTTGTGCTCTCACCGCCGAAGGCGAAGCCAAAGAACAGGAAGAAGAGGCAGAAGTCATGTGTGATTCTTTAGAAGCGCTTGCGACGCTGGCAACGCAACACGAGGGTGGGTGGGTTGGTATTTTCGATGTTAGGCGTGATGACCCTAGTTCATGAAGCTGGCATGGCATTTGTATTTATTAGTTGTCTTTTGCTGCTGACTGCCTGTGTTTTCACTCCAGAGCGTGCTCACAGTTGTGATGTGTTGGACAGATGACAGAATGCTTTCACTCCAGGAGGAAATGCTGGGAACCTTCCGGGAGCGTCTTATTAGCAAGCGTGGGTGCTCTCTGGTGAATTGTTGATCAGTCACCACACAAGGATGGGGGGAAGTCGTGAGATGAGAGCAAGGGAGGAGGGTTGATGAAGGGTAACCATGATTGATTGATTACTCTGAAGCACACCACATTAGTGGAGGAGGGGGGGGGGGGGGGGRKGGATTAGGTCAATCGCAACAAAGGAAGATGATGTCGAGAGGAGAAATGTAGGAAATGTATCCGCCCTGCCCTCTCCAGGGTTCGCCATCAACTGCAGCCAGCTTTTTCATGTATGATACATGAATAGGCAGGGATTGTTGCTACAACAGGCAGGGATTGTTGCTACAACAGGCATCGATGGAAACTCGTCTGTTTGGGAACCGTAACTGCAGGTTGGGGCGGGGGTGGGAGCGGGTCGGGGCGGGGGGGGGGGGGGGGGGGGTCGGGGGGAGAGGACACAGAGAATCAATACTACTCTTCGCTTGTGTAAGGCATTTTTGAAACATCTGATTGCTGTAATGGGGTCGTTGCGGGGGGATATAGGGTTTGTGTGTGTGTGTGAGGCGTTCACTGCCGGAAGGCGGGGATGATGGAAGGATGGAAGGAACGGACACAGGAGGAGGACGATTATTGCCTACCGGAAGGCTCGTCTGCAAGCTCTGTTCTAACCTGTGTTTCGAGGTTTCAGCAGATTCCCGGCACTTCCTCGACCGGGAAGAAAGTTGCGTAAATCCTAGTGTCATTTTGCTTTGAGGTGGTGAAAAAAATAGGCTTTGGAGATGTCAGCACTGTCACTGTTACCTGTCTCGCTCCTCACTTCTCCCTGTTTCCCTCTTTTGCTTGTGCCTTCAAAGGAGTGCTCTGTTCCGTCGTTGGGTAGTTCCTGCTTTCTGTCATTGATCCGTGCTTCGATCCATTATGATGATGGATGAATTGAGGATTGGAGCGGACCCACCTGCTGCTGCTGCGGGGCTGAAAGTCGGCGTTCTGAGCCCTGACACGGAGAGCAACAGGTGGAGGGAGAGATGGATGTGTGGACGGGTCAGAGGGAGTACAGGAATGTCGATGAGAATCCCTGCATGGCATGTGAACCTGTGTGCGATATTGCTTCGGATATTGACATGACATGGTTTCGATTCAGGTCACTGCTGGGTGAAGAGTGATCGACTACGTAAAAATGGCAGTAATCGAGGTACGTGGAGGAAAGAAGGGGGATTATCATGTTGGGTGGGGTTTTGGGGAAGTGTCCAATAAGAGAAGGTCATGCGGGAGGAGGCCAGGGAGAGAGAGAGAGAGAGAGAGAGAGAGAGAGAGAGAGAGAG